GCGAGGCAGCCCGGGGAGCCGCAGGGAACACCCGCGGGAGCGGAAGGTCGAGGGCAGGGAATGCCCGGGCGGGGGCTCCGGGACTGCCGTGGGGATAGAGCTCCGGGATCCGTCAGGCTCCAGCAGAACGCACCCACTGCAGGGGCTGCTCTTTGGGCTGGAAATGTGCAGTAACCCCTCTGCTGCCCGACCGACTGGTTGTTCCTGGGGATGTATCACTGCTAACAACCATGGAGATTGGATGTCCTTGGGTGTCGTGTTTGTTCCTGGCATTTCTGTAGCTGATCACTTTATGTTTGTCTATCCTGAGTAATGCCCTGCCTTTGTGCTCCTTGCAGAAGAGCTGTACGTGTCTGAGCGAGAGGGCAGTGATGCCTCGGGTGATGGGACACAGAAGAAGCCATTCAAGACTGTTTTGAAGGTACCTGTGGGAAACACCTGCTCTTTGTTGTGACTTGCGTGGGCTGTGCTTGGGTCAGGCCATGGAGCTCGTGTTCCCATATGGAAATGTTACTCTGGCTCTTGCAGCTCTGACCAGAAGGATCAGCAGCAGGATATGTGCTTGGTCTCTTAGGCATGACTCCAGTTCACCTGCAGTGCTGTTGAATCTGTTGTTTTCTCCCCGTTTTTAGGCTCTGATGACAGCAGGGAAGGAACCCTTTCCTACTATTTATGTGGATTCACAAAAGGAAAACGAGGTGCTGTAGCATTAGAACTTCTAGTACCAATTATTGTGATGCTCCTTTGTGTGAAGGGACACAAATATAACCTCTTATCTTGTTCTTGGATTTAGAGATGGGCCATTATTTCAAAGTCGCAGATGAAAAATGTCAAAAAACTGTGGCACAGGGAACAAATGAAGAATGATGCTAAGGAGAAGAAGGAGGTAGGTTGCAGAGCATGCCCAGTTGGAAGGACACTGCCTTTCTTCCAGAAGCATTCAGCAGGCGTTGGCCTTCCCAACCTTCCAGCAAAGCTTCAGTGTGTTGTTCAGCTGTGTGGCTGTTTGACACGTAGGTTATTTACAACCTGCCTGTGTTTAGATGAGGACAAGCACAGGGCTGGACCTGGGCGAGCTGTGGATAATTGCAGCCCGTGGCCTTGAGGCTCCCAGGAAACATGAGAACTGCATCTGAGTGTTCTCACCCTGGCCTGCACTAGGGCAGGTGTAGGGCCCAGCAGGTGACAGCAAGGCTTTCTGTGACACCTCTTAAGTGTGTGTTGCGGTCTCCAGTGATTGCAAAGGGTGGGGATCTTACACAGCCTGGTTACAGCTATTTAACACATTTTGTGTTGCTTTTAAAACCAGGCAGAAGATCTCTTGAGAAGAGAGAAGAATCTGGAGGAGGCTAAGAAGGTTATTATCAAGAATGATCCTAGTCTTCCAGAGCCAAAATGTGTGAGTAAAACCCAGAGTACTTGACATGTGCCTGTGTTACTGTGTCTTGTCTGCACAGAGCTTGAGCCTGGCTGCTCTTGGCTCTGGAGGCCACTGTCTTTTTACTGTGACTTCGTGGTTCTGGTCATCTGTCCCCTATAGTTTATAGACTTCATTCTTTCTTATGCACTGGAGAAGTATCTGGACCTTCTTAGTTGACACATCAGACTTCTCCAGGACTGTGTCTGCTGCTAGATACTGCTAGATTTCTGTTTGGCAAAAATGCATTAATTTTTCTTTGCTTATTGTAATGGTACAGAGTGAAGAAACAAGGCTCATTAGGGCTATAATTGAAGCTCCTTAGACATGGATTGCAGTTCTTGTTTGGCTGCCTGTAGAGTCCTGCTGGATTTGGTGATGTGGTCCTTAGCTTAGCAAGCAGGTCTCTGCTGGGTTTTCGGATAGACCCCGTGAAGAAGAGGTTTCTACATAGTCTGTAGAGGATGATGTTGAGTGGGGTCCTGCATGCCAGTGGCTGCTCTCTGGGGCAGCCATCCCAGCTGGGCTGGAGTCCCAGTCTCCTCTAGATGGGTGACCTGCAGCAGAGGGAACCTGTGGGACAGGGAGACAGTGTGGGTCTGAAAATGCTCTCACAGGCCCTGCCTCTCCTGGCTGAAACTCTTTCCTCTCCAAACTGCTGGTGATGGTGACAGCTGTGTTCACACCCTGGGTGCTGCTGGGAGGACCTCTTTCAGGGAGAGAGGTGTCGCATTCTAAGTGTGGAAAATGCCAGCTAAATGGTGAATCATTTCATCCTGATTGCATTTATTCCCTGCTTTACAGGTCAAGATTGATGCTCTGGAGGCCTACAGAGGCCAGAGAGTGAAGATTTTTGGCTGGATTCACAGGTTACGGAGACAAGGTAAGCCACAAGCATTTAGAAGTTATAGAACCTGTGCAGAGAGATGTAGCCTTCCAAGTTTGGATGCTTAGAATGACTCATATGAGGCCTGTTCTTAAATGGTTAAACCAGCAGCTGGGTGTCCTCTTTGTTTCATCAGAGTGGTCACTGCAGCTCTGAGAATTCTGCATGCTGGGTATATGGACATTTTTCAGTTGAAGTCTGGTAGGATTTTCAGTCGGGAGTCCAGTCCTGCAGAATTTCTTCAAAAGACTTTTTTTAAAACTAATCCTACAAGCTGAGGAGCTCACTACTGTCTGCTTATGGTGAAATCAGCAAACTGGAATTGTAAAGTTACATGAAGTAGCATAACTTATTTACAAATAAGTTTAGGAAGTACTGTTTGCTACCAGAATGGTTGGTGTTGTAGTTAGCAGGGTGGCTTGGGTTGGGACAGAGGTGGTTCTGACTCCACGGTGTTTGTTAACCCTGAAGGACTTGACAAAATTATTGTGGATCTGGATAACACGAGCAGTTTCTAACAAGCTCTTTTTGTAATTCTGTGCTTTTGTGGAGGGGTAGGTGGATGCCTCTGTTAGGTACCTTGGGCCTGTGCATTCAGCATTTCTGGGCACAGACTTGTAGTTCCTCAGGACCAGAGGGAGATCCAAGGTCATGGCATGGCAGTGCCATCCCAGCAGGCTTTGCTTTTGAAGTCTGTTGAAACTTATTTTAACTTGTCATACAAAATACAGCTCTGTGAAAGGCTTCTGTAACTGTGCTAATGCTGCAGTGCTGACCTGGAGCATCTGTGTTTTGTAAAATGGGAGAATGTGATCACAGTCCTTCAGTAATAACCTGCACGCCAGTGGTTAATGTACCTTGGGAGATGCATTTCTGAATAAAGCTGAGGGTCTCTGCGGCTTTTTTCTTTTTAACTAGGAAAAAACTTGATGTTCATTGTTTTGAGAGATGGCACAGGTTTTCTTCAGTGTGTCCTATCAGATGAATTGGTAAGTTGTGATGATTTAATTCTGTCCTATCACTAAATAAGTGTTCATACCTCATACATTTTTCTTCTCTACAGACAATTGGAAGTGCTCCTAAACCTACTGATTAAGTTGTATAATTGCTAAATTGTATCTTCTACCACTAGAGGTTTTTTTGTCAATGTGAGAACTGTTTAGAAGTGACTATGACTTAATCTTGTTTGTGACTAGAGTAGATTCCATAGGAAAATTAAAAGCACAAACTGACCTTCCCTCTGTGTCTGCAGTGTCAGTGCTACAACGGGCTGGTCCTCTCGACGGAGAGCAGCGTGGCGGTGTACGGGACGCTTAACCTGGTCCCTGCAGGAAAGCAGGTATGGGGCTCTGGGGGGTTCTCCTCCTCCCTCACACTTCATCCTTTTCCTGGCAGAAGAGAAGCAGAGGTGGAAATAGATTATTTCAGTGGGAATTTGCTTGAGAGAAAAGAGCAAGCCTCCCAGAGCTGCTGCTGTCCCCCACAGCTCAGTGTGTGTCAGTGAGCAGTGACTGTTCTGCTTTTGCCAGAAGAGTTTTCCCCTGATAGGTCTTGTAGATATTTCCTAGAATGTAACTGGAACATTATGTGAAATAAAGGACGTAGCTTTATATTCCCTAAGAGCAGGTTTATTCAGGCAAAGAATTTGGGATTAGCTCTCTTGTTCTACAGAGGTGGGTTTGTAGGCTCTTCACCATGTTATACTGGTCCTCCAGCACTTGGCAGGTGTATGAACTAAGCAGTTTGCTACAAGTTAATTTGTAAAACTTTGCTTATAATGGTGCTCTCAGATTAATGACTGGGCAGGTGTGATTTTTACAGCTCAAAATATGGTGCTGCTTATGCCTTGTGCCTCCCATCCCAGTCAAGATCTACACACTTGTTACTGTTTGGAAGGTAATTTGAATGTGTGAAGCAGCTGTGCATGTAGGATGGCCCATAAAAGGGTTCCAGCTGAAGACAGGAGAGGAGATTTTTAGGAACCATTAACTATGGCAGCAACTCAATGCACTCATCAGGACATGCAGGCCTATATTGGGATATTGACTGAAAATTATTGTAAAACTTCTGTCTTATTAAGAGGTTACTGAAAGACAAAAGTCAGTTGGGTCTGTGTTGCAAACCTTAACTTGTGGTGTAGTAACAGCAAGCAGGCTCAGACCACGTTTGTTCTATTTAAATCCTTAAGTAGCCCATTTTAAGAGATGAGTCCTTGCTAGCTGCTGACTGTTATGGCCCTTTTTTCTGAAGGAGAAAGCAAAGCAGTGACGGTGAGATTTAGAGGACATGTAGGTTTAACCTGGCTAGTCTGTAAGCTTTCCTCTTCCTTTAGAGATATATATAGGAAATTGTCTCTGGCAGTGAGAGTTCTTGTTTGTGGATTGGCCGTTGTTCTCATCTAGTCTCTCAAGTAAGTGCACTAACTCTAGTTAGATAACAGGCAGAAGAAACATGGCTGAAAAAAACCAGAGTAACCATGTTGGAGTGTTATCTTGCTTCAAGTAATGTTTCCCAGATGTATTAGACAATGTTTGAGCAAAGTATTCTCTCCCTGTGGCTGCCCGTAGCATGTAAAATAAGGTCACAGTGTTAAGCTTTGGTGGTGCTCTGTAGATAATTCCATTTTCTTATAACCATGTACTGCTGGCCAATGCAGGCACGTTTTGCAAATGACATTTAGATAGACTTAATTGTTCTAGGTGTCCCTCCCACTCGGGTCCTGTCCCAGGAGATCAGCCTGGGGTTAGAGAGCCTGGCTCATTTTGACAGGGATCACTTTCTTAAACAGCTTTCTGTGGTTTGGTGATCAGAAATAACTGCTGGTGTGTTACTGCTCATCGTGTTTTGGACTTTGGAAACACATAATGCTTTCATGGCTCATCACAACGATACCAAGCTTTCTGTGAGCAAACCCACCAGATTTGTAAAAATCCACTTATTAGACTTGGAAATTTTGGATTTATACCCTGAAAATACTGTGAATGGGAAAAATGCCCACACGGGGGAGCTGGTGAGACCAGGAATGAAGAGGGTCTGTGCCCGGGCAGCCCAACAGGCTGAGGTCCCCATGCCGAGTGGCAGGAAATGGGACAGTGGGGACCAGCCAGGGTCACCCTGAGTGTTTTCACATTGCGGGGAGATGGTGCCCATGCAGAAAGATTGCTCGGGGGTCTGGCAGACAAGTACCCATAGGGAGCTAGTTCTTCCTCTGTCAGGCTCTGAGCAAGTTGTAGCACCATACAAAACTGCTATGAAGAAAATAAACTCTATCCCAGCCAAAACTAGTACACAGTCTAAGTTACCACAGAGTGGCTTGGGTTGGAAGGAACTTTTGAAGGTCATCTGGTCCACTGTCATATAATGTGAGATCAGGCTGCTGAGGTTCTTGTCCAGATGTGTTTTTGAACATCTCCAAGAATGGAGCCTGCAGTCAGGCTTGGTCCATGCTTTAGCATTTCAACACCCCCTAAAGGATTTTTTATTTTTTCTTTATAGCCAATTGAAATCTCCCTTACTTTAGCTTGAGACACATCCAGAGAGGGTCTGGCTCCATCTTGTTGGTAATCACCCATTAAATAGTTGAAGGTAGTAAGTAGTTTCCTCTGCTTAGCTCTCTGTTCTTCCAGCTGAATAAACCCAGCTGCCCGTGACACATTGAGCTGACCATGTCAGGAAGCATCTCATTGTCTGACCCGTAATGTTCACATGATGTCTGAGGGACTCACAGTGGGTTACAAATGGCACTGCCAAATGTGGTATCACTGAGTTACAAAAACAGTCACTTAGGAAATACTGCATTTAGGGTTGTAGCATCAGTTGCTTAAACTGGATTAACATTCCTGCCATGATGCCAGGTGGTGACGGCCAAGGGGCAAGAAGTGGACTTCTGAAATGTTTGTTTCTCTTCAAATTGGCAGGCTCCAGGAGGCCATGAGCTGAACTGTGACTACTGGGAGCTCATTGGTCTGGCCCCAGCAGGAGGGGCTGACAATCTCCTCAATGAGGATTCGGAGGTTGATGTGCAACTGAACAACAGGCACATGATGATCCGAGGCGAGAACATGTCCAAAATCTTCAAGGTGCGCTCCATGGTGGTGCAGGCCTTCAGGGATCATTTCTTTGCCAATGGATATTATGAGGTATGTTTGCCCTTGTCAGACTGTGACTACATTAATGTCCTCACTCCAAGGCTGTCTTTTTTTTTTTTTTTCCTGGAAAAACTGCATAGACTTTCTAATTGACCTGGAAGGGGCAGAAGAAAAGCTGTGCCATAGGAAACTATTGTTGAATGGCTTTCTTAGCCATAGATCTCTCAGCTCTGTGGACACTTGAGGTGTGTGGGCATTGCAGCACTGCTCCTAGCCAGCCTGCACAGCTTCTCACCATACTGAAGGGTGTCAGACTGACATCCTTGTGTGTGCACACCAGAGCTTTGTAGATGGTGTTCTGGAAGGGTGTGCCTTACCTCACTGCTCTGATCTTCCTCAGTTCTCTACTAATGACAGTCCTGTTCTTCAACAGGTCACACCACCAACTTTAGTCCAGACACAGGTGGAAGGAGGCTCAACCCTATTCAAGCTGGATTACTTTGGTGAAGAGGCATACTTAACACAGTCCTCCCAGCTCTATCTGGAGACCTGCATTCCAGCACTAGGAGATGTTTTCTGTATTGCTCAGTCATACAGAGCTGAGCAGTCCAGGACCCGCAGACACTTGGCAGAGTATGGAGTGTGCATTTCTTTGCTGTTGATGTGTCAGGGACTTCAGAAAGTGGGGGAGTGACACGCAGCTGGATGGCATAACGTGCAGTGAGCAGACAGCATCATGCTGGTGTACAAGGACTGAGCAAAATGTATGTGGGGGTAGTGCCCTGTCCTGTTGAATGTCCAGCTGGTCATCTACATTGATGTTTAGTGAGGGAATATCTGGGCAAAACAGAGCTGAGACGTTTTTAGGAAGGTTTGTCTTTTTAGAAAAAACAGTTTATCTTGTTGTCTTCCTTATTTTTTTTATGGCTTTATTTCCTTTAAAGTGTAGAACTGGGAGAAGTGAAAAAGGAGACAAAAGTGTGTGGGTTTGGATTGTGGGATGTTTTTTTAATGAGAAATTTTTTCACAGCTAAAGATTTGTTGCTTATGTGTGGTTTTGTGATGGTGTGACTTTGTGTTTCAGATACACTCACATTGAGGCTGAGTGTCCTTTTATAAGTTTTGAGGATTTGCTGGACCGTCTGGAGAACTTGGTTTGTGACGTGGTGGACAGAGTCTTGAAATCACCTGCATCGAGCTTACTGCACGACCTCAACCCGGTAGGCAGCCATGTGGAGCAGCCAGGAATAGCCAAAAAGTAGGAGCTGTTGCCTTTCCTGATCTGCATGTTCCCTTGGGCAGAGCTGGGCTGGCAGGGAGCTCTGCTTGCTTACTGTTCTTAATTAAATAACATCAAAAGAATGAAAATGCTGCGAGGCTGGTATGATGACTCTTGAAGAAGCAAGGGACTGTGGGGGAAGGTTCCCTGCTGGCAAGTTCCAGGAGCCAGCAATATGCTGGGATTTATTGTGCTGTGTACTGTACCAGTGGAATAGAAACCTCCATCCCAGAGCTTGTAATATTGATCGGCTGGCACTTGCAGATGGAGCACGAGGGAGCAATGAAACAACTGGTGTTTTACTCTCCAGCCTGGATTGTGGAGCTCTGTAAAGCTCTTTTCATTTTCTAGAGACCCTTTGTCTTCTGTTGCCTTTTCAAAGAAGATAGCTTGGACACTTCTTGCTTCATCACTGGCTTTTCTCCCAGAGTACATAAAAACTCAGTAATCCTTGTTATTTTGACCCATTTTCCCAATACACACTGGGAGGTTCAGTTTGAAATTTGAGCTGAGACATGGGGCAGTAGGTAGGATGTGGCAGAAGCACAACCCGCCTCGGTGGGTGCTGAAGCTGTTCTGTGCACGTGGAAGCAAAAATGCTCTTTTGTGACTTTGTCCATGGTAATGGCTCAGTTTGACACTCGCATGTGCAAGGAATTAATAATGAAAAGGAAACAGCTTTGAAAATTCCTCCTCTCCCATCTTTTTCAGCATCTGCTCTGTGAGCTTTACTGGGCTTGGAAGATGGTTGTGTTTTCAGTAGTAGATAGTAGCTTTTCAGTACCAAGTGTGATTTGTTTGTTTATCAGGTGATAATTTGTTGATGCATGAGCTGGAAAGAGCAGTGTGTATCAAGTGTGGAAGTGGAGTCACTGATCAACCAGAGAAGTATCCTTCTTTAAAAATGACACACTTCTAACTGTCCCGTCTACTCTTACTTGCAGGGCTTCACGCCCCCTAAGCGTCCTTTCCGACGAATGAACTACACTGAAGCCATCGAGTGGTTAAAGGAACATGATGTGAAGAAGGAAGATGGCACTTACTATGAATTTGGAGAAGTAAGTTTTTCCAAGGCTCTTCAGGAATGAAAGCTAAACAAAATCTCACTGCCCTGCACTCAGGGTCCCTTGAGGAAGAGAGCGTTTGGACCATGATGCTGTTTGGCTTGTGTTGCTGTGTGAATATGTTGTGCTTTGTTTGGAACCATAACAATAAGGACTGAAATTCTAGTTACATTTCAGTTAAAGGGAGTTTTGCTGTAAACTTCACTTGGGGCCTGGAGTTTTTTCTGGACTGTGCTGGGACATGTACATATCATCATCATGTTCCCTGTCTGTCAGTGAACTGTGGTGGCATCCTTTACTTCTCCCCAGTTTTTAAACAAGGAAACTGCTGCATTGATGAAAATCAAACTGCTTTCACAGTTTATCAAATTTGAGTTAGCAAACTAATAAAAAACAAATAACCTAATTGACATAACTGATCATTTGAAGTTTTCAAAAAATAGCCCATATATATAGCAAGGACAAACTGAAACTTCTTAAGGTTTGTGGAAAATGGTGGTGGGGAGGAAGGAGATTAGGCTCTCCAGTGTTTACTGGTTGTTGGGAAAGATGAGAATTCAGGTTAGCTTTTCCTCAGTATTCTGTCTGAAAAATTGGGAAAACTTGGATTGTAATGGAACAGATTTATTTTTTCTCCCTGATGTGCTTGTTCATATACAAATATAGTTTCTTCTAAGATGAGTTTGTTGTAAAAATTGAGGTACATTAGGATGCATGTGGGGATACATGTGGTCTGAAACTGCCTTTGTCCCCGGCCTGATACATGTGGTTTTAAAGATGAATAAAACCATCCTGAACCCTTAGGATATTCCTGAAGCTCCTGAGAGGCTGATGACAGACACCATCAATGAGCCAATCTTGTTGTGCCGATTCCCTGCAGAGATCAAGTCCTTCTACATGCAGCGCTGTCAGGACGATGCCCGCCTTACAGAGTCTGTAAGTTGGTGTTGCCCCTAGAGTTGCAGGTCTCAACAGAGAATGTCAGTCTGAGTGAGCACAACATGAGTGAGTGCTACAGGAGAATCTTGGAGAATTCATCCCAGGTTTTGCTTGGAGTGTCTCAGCATGGCTATAGAAATAAAGAAAGGAGCTCTGAAGGGCTAATAAGAGGTCAGTAGATGATCTCGAGCATGTTCCTCACTGACCTCAGATCAGTGCTAGTCTGGTGACAGTACTTGTGTCACTTCCTGGAGACTGCAGTGTGGGAACACCAGCTGTCTGGCAGCTGGGAAGAATGGTTGTTGTTAGGAATGCTGCTAGGTTTGGGATTGTGTGGTGTGTTTTTCCTTGGTTGGTTTTGTGCTGGGCTTGGGGTTTTTATTTTTTTACAGTGCAATGTGGTCAAGAGTATTAGAGGTAACGCTGGAGAACCTAGTCAGTTTATTCCATCTATAAACTGGGTCTGGAAGGAATTGCCTGCCTTCCTGTCATGGAGAATTAAAGTTACCTGGAAAAAATGTGTTATGGAAATACAGTTTCAAATTTGGGCTGTTTTTCTTCCCTCTCCTGCTGCCAGCTTAATTGTAATAGTTTGATCTCGTGTTGTGTGCTGTAGGTTGATGTGTTGATGCCCAATGTTGGTGAGATCGTGGGCGGGTCCATGCGTATCTGGGACAGCGAGGAGCTACTCGAGGGCTACAAGAGAGAGGGCATTGATCCCACACCATACTACTGGTACACTGACCAGGTTTGTGACACAGATCTGATGTGCTGCTTGACTGAATATTTGCTGGTTTTTTATTTTTTTTAACTGCTCTTAAGATGGTGTAGTCTACATTGGGAACCTTTTTGGATGGCCCAAAGCGGATAATGATTTAACTGTTGGCAAAGTGCAATGGTCAGCAGTTCCATTCTGTTCAAACTGGTGGCATTTGCTGCAGTTGCAGCTGCCCTTACCAGATCACCTTGGTTGGACTGGTCTGTGCAGGTGTGTCTGCTGGTAAAGAGGCTGGTCTTCACAGGCTTGAAAAGCAAAGCTCTAACCTGAGAGGAGGAGAAAGGAGGCAGTTAAAAAAGAATAATTAAGACTTTCTTTTTCACCTTCCCTTTTCCTCTTCAAGTTCTTACACTGCCTCAGGACAGCTGAGCACAAATATCTTGCCTGGAAAGAGCATATCCCATTTTCCTTGTATTTCACAAATAATCTTGGATGTGTTTTGTTCTTGTTTTTTTTTAATTCTGGTTGTATTACTGCAATTATATTGTCAAGAACATTGTTTAATATCTACTCTCTGACTTTCATTTCACAGAGGAAATACGGTACGTGCCCTCATGGTGGATATGGTTTGGGATTGGAGCGGTTCCTGACCTGGATTCTGAACCGCCACCACATCCGAGACGTGTGTCTGTACCCGCGCTTCGTGCAGCGCTGCCGGCCTTAGCCACCCTGCCCTCAGCTCCCGGGACACTGACCCACTCCTGCCTCTGCAGCCTGACTGAGGCCAAAACCTATTGCAACCTGTTGCTGACACAAATGCTAGTTTAGGGTGTGAAAAGAAAATCAAACTAAGCCCCTTTTTAAAGGAAAATGCTACTAATTAACTGGAAGAAACCCTAGAAAAAAATTGCTAGGTACGTTTATGGTCTCAAGTCAACATAAAACAAAGATCCTGATAAGCTGTTATTTAAAAAACAAGATCTGCTTCTGCTTTTCATTTCTGTGACTTAAAATATACTGGGTATTTAATTTTTTTAAAAATCTACTTTCATTTTAATCTGTTGTCTCTAGTGGTTTCTTGTTGGAGAAATCAGGAGTTCAGGCTCTTTAAATTCCCAAACTGACTTCTGAGAATGCTATGAAGAGACATCATCTAGATAGCTCAACAAAGTTTAAAAATGGGAATAATTGCATTAACTGCTGCAGTTTTTTTGCTCCTACTGTTTTATTGGCAGTTCTGTTTGAGTTCATGCAGTAGCAAGGTATGTAGTACGGAGCATAAATTTCCACTGCAAGAGATGGGGTTGTTGGGGTTGTTTTTTCCAGGTTATTTATTGGTTAGGAATGCTGAGGCTGGTGGTGAGGTAGTCTTTGCTGCTCTTTCCTGATCCCTGGGTCCATGCACACCCAGCCTGTGCTGATCTCCCTGTTGTCAGAGCACTGGCAGCTCCGACCCTAGGGTGGTGCTGGTGCCTTCCAAGTGACTGCTCTGCCATCTTTTGCAAACCAGAAGTGACCAACTGAAGACCCAAAGAAACTGGTAGCTTTGACACACTGGGAGTTCAGCATTGCGTGCTGACCCAATTGTTGTCCTCTCCAGGGGAGCTGTAGTTCAAGCAGTGCTTTCCCACATCGTGCTTAAGTATGTTTTCATCATAGAGCAGTTCTGTGTTTTCTAGTTGGCTCTGTGTTCTCTTCTGCTACTGCATCAGATTCTCTGGCTGTAATCAACTTATCAAATAGGATTAATTAAATATTTAATGTGTCATCTGTATGCTTTTTAGTCATAAATGAAGCAATCCCTTTTACTAGAGAGAAAAAAAAAATTGGCAGGTGCATATTTGCTACCTTCATGGAGACTTGATCTGAGTTTGCCATCCATGGAATCATTGAGCTGTGCAATAGTCATATTTTTTTAATGAATGCCTGGTTTTCTTCATCTTGCATGTTTCATGTATATGAACTGGTCTAAGTCAGCAACCAATAAATTATGACAAGGCAGTAGTTCTTGACCTGTAATGTCTGTCTGTTCCTTTCACATAGCCTTTCCTAGTTCACTAGCTTAATGCAGGCTGTCCTGGCTTAGGCAGTATCTGCCTGGGCAAAAGGAGAAATGCACTTTGAAGTGCAGTAAGCTGTGTATCCAAAAAATGGAACTAGCTTCTTCCTTTTTAAATTAAACCTGCATTAATTAAGACATGATTTTTTAATAATTTGGATAGGCCACCTCAGCTACCCAGTTGAAACATCTTGGAGAGAATAAAAAGAGAATGATCCTACTGCTGAGTATTTGGATTTAATGTCCAGGGGGTTGCTGGAGATCTCTGTGGGATTGCTGTATGACCCGAAGGGGATGCTTTTGAACCAGAGAGGTGAGCAGAGGCTGCATGAAAGATGGTCTAAGAAATGAGCACTGCTTAGATGGTTTTCTTTCTTACCCATCTTTAAATATTCACCCTTTCCACTGATTTTCCCAGGCCTTTTGTAGCCACAGTAGAAGAAAATCTTGCACAGCAACATGCCTCAGCTCACACTTGCCCTCCATTTACTATAGGTTGTTCTTTGAACATAGAACTTAAAATATTATTTTGAATACCTGCAAAATTATTTAGTCAACGGTAAATTTTCTGTGGTTTGGGGGGGGGTGGTTGTGTATTTCTTGAGTACATAAACTAGAAGAAGAGGAGGAAAATTAACAAGCCTGACTGCCACAACACTACTTCTAAACATACATACTTGACAATTTACTAGCTGTGAGCTGCAGGAAGAGTCACCCTTGTCCAAAAGCTGAACATGCTACCAAAGAGTAATTGCACCCCTTGGGGTTTCGGTTTTGTGTTGTTTTTTTTTTTAGTATTTTGGGGGGATTTTAGGGGAGGAGGGGAGCTCAAGAGGCTTCTGTAATTCAGAACATTTAGTAATTTATGAGCATATCAAGACTTATAAAAAATGTCCTTCACGTGCCTGAAGTGATGGGGAGGGAGGAGAAGGATTGGGAAAAGATACTGCTAGAAAAACATCATTTGTTGGCAATCAATTTTCTGTCCCTAAAACTGGCAGGGCTGAGCTGCTTTGTAAAGGTTAAAAGCCTCCGTATCAGGCGAGCTACTAGAGGAAGGTCTGAGGACTAAAGAGGTGTTCCTGGAAGAGGCAGATCAGATAAGGAGCTTAAAAGGTGACTGGGATGAAAGATGCAGTGGAGTGGAACAAAGGCTGCTGTGCAGTTCCATAGTCTGCCCGTGGTGCAGAGGTGGTGCTGGGCACACCATCTGCATGGGAAGGATCCCTGCGTTAGGCAGAAGCCTGTGCAAATTTACCCACAGAGTGAAAAGGGAGCTGCTGAAACCTACCCAGCTGGAATGTGGCAACATGGAAACGCAATACTTTTAGAGATTGAAAAATGATAAAATGGATCTGGGTTTTATATCACTGTCCCATCAGTTGTGGCTTTACATGGTGTTGTCTTTTTTTTAATTGTGTTCTTAGAAAGTTTGCTGAGTTTGGTTATGGCTCCAGTGATTTACAGCTGATGGTGATCGTGCGTGTTCCTGGCAACTATCTAGGAAGGTAATTTCCAAGTTCTTGCGGAGTAAAGGTTTTTGATTGTAAGTTCTCATTCAGGGCTGATTTAATTACATTTTCTGCTACACACGCCATGGCCTGACAACGTTTTTGGGAAAGAAATTGTTCCTAGTATCCTAAACCTCCCCTGGCACAGCTTGAGGCTGCTTCTTGTCCTATACTTGCTCCTTGGGAGAAGAAACTGACCCCCTCTAGCTTCAACCTCCTTCCAGAGCACTGTAGAGGGCGAGGTGCCCCCTGGAAGAGCCCACCTGGGATTGCACAAGGCCCTTCATGAAGCATGGAAGGAGAACCTCAGACTCACAGACTGGTTTGGGTTGGAAGGGACCTTAAAGATCATCCAGTTCCAACCTCCTGCATGGGCAGGGACACCTCCCAGCAGCCCAGGCTGCTCCAAGCCCCATCCAACCTGCCCTTCAACACCCCCAGGGATGGGGCAGCCACAGCTTCTCTGGGCAACCTGGGCCAGGCTCTCACCACCCTCAAACGAAATT